TTTACATTTTCATGCATTGCACATCAGGCAAACTTTTTGCATAAATGAAAAATGTGTTTGAATTTATCATTCATAGTTTATAAGCGGACAAATGGTTGTATATGAGATGTTTGTAGTATGTTCTCTATTAATTTTTACCAATATACACTGTAAAAAAAATTGTTTTTTTTTTAAGTAGTAAATAAAAAGGTTATTGGAGTATGTTGTACTAGCAAATACTATTTCAGTGTTTCTTCTTGTTCAATTCAATCTGTGACTTGCTGTTTCTTTGTAATTATTTGTGAAATTTACTAGCATTTCTATGTGAAAATTGTTTCTACACCAATTTTTGATGCACAGAATAATTAAAACTTGTGCAAATGGACATGAAATTTACTGTAATGTAGGAACTGCAATGTGCCTCAGGAATAGTATTAGTAAAGTATTTTTAAGCAAGTCAGTTCATGTGAGATGCAACATTTTTTTGTCAAGATCCTTCAGTGAGGAGAGACCAAAACTGCTTGCAAACCTTACATTGTAACGTCAAATTTATAATGAAATCACACAAAATATTATAATAAATATAGTTGTTGTTTTTTTTCACATTCATTGTTTTTTGTTTATCATGTCTCTGGTGTTATATGACCTCTGACCTGATCTCTGTTTGACGTCCAAGACATGAGCTGCAAATGTGTCAGCAGGATTAACAAGATCTATATCAGCTGTTAACGCCACATCCATGTAGTTCATGCAGACTCGGTCAGCTTAGTGAACTAGAGGTAGTATGCATGGGAGAACTAGCGTATATCCTCAACTGAGAGTGCAGATGAGTGTTAATGTTTGTTGAGCATGTGTTTTAGAGCCGGTGTGTCGTGTCTAGTGAGGAGAGACCAAAACTGCTTGCAAACCTTACATTGTAACGTCAAATTTATAATGAAATCACACAAAATATTATAATAAATATAGTTGTTGTTTTTTTTCACATTCATTGTTTTTTGTTTATCATGTCTCTGGTGTTATATGACCTCTGACCTGATCTCTGTTTGACGTCCAAGACATGAGCTGCAAATGTGTCAGCAGGATTAACAAGATCTATATCAGCTGTTAACGCCACATCCATGTAGTTCATGCAGACTCGGTCAGCTTAGTGAACTAGAGGTAGTATGCATATATCCTCAACTGAGAGTGCAGATGAGTGTTAATGTTTGTTAAGCATGTGTTTTAGAGCCGGTGTGTCGTGTCTGTCGGCAGGTTGCGGGGCGGCGGTACTCTCTCTGGGACGACTTCCTGGTGCAGGGCCAGCGTAAGGGTCAAAAGGAAATGACCTTGGAGGAACTGCTGAAACACATTAAGGTTAAGGCACACACGCTGTCAACATCAGACACTTAAAAGACATCAGATACCATTCACACTTAGTCTCACACCAGTTTTTGACATCTTCTCTGTCTTTTCTTTGGAACTAGAACTGATTTTGTGCCACATAAATACATGCTCCAGCATTTAAAAGTTTGGGGTCGGTAAGATTTTTTAATGATTTTGAAAGAAGTATTTTATGCTCGACAAGGCTGCATTAATTTGATTAAAAATACAGTTAAAACAGTAATATTGTGAAATATTATTACAATTTAAAACAGCTGTTTTCTATTTGAATACATATTAAAATGTAATTTATTCCTGTGATCAAAGCTGAATTTTCAGCATCATAACTCCAGTCTTCAGTGTCACACGATCCTTCAGAAATCATTCTAATATGCTGATTTGCTGCTCAAGTAAAACATGTTTTTTATTACTTTTGTGGAAACCATGATACATTCTTTTCAAGATTCTTTTCTTGGCCAATTTGAATGCATCCTTGCTGAATAAAAGTATTAATTTCTTAAATAAAATTTAAATAATCGTACCGATCCCAAACTTTTGAAGAGCTGTGCTAGATGAAAGTCTAGATGAAAACACACAATGAGTGACACATGTTTGCGGGCACACAGAATGTCTATTGAATTAGTTGAATTAATAATTCTTTCTCATTTCAGGAAAACCATAAGTTGAGCATCACTGGCTTGTATTATGGTACTGCTGTACTGTACAGTGATCTCTGGGATCATACTGATCGCCTGAAGCTAAGGTGTGTATGCCGACATACAGCTGTTTTTCAGGGAAATATTCCACACTGCATTAATCTTGTGTATGTTATATTGAATGTTTACCTGCATAATATTAACCTGAATTCTAGAGCAATATGTCATTAGATCTGTCTAGACTGAGAGATTTCGAGACATTTGTCCCCTAGTGTTTATTTTGGGATAATGGGGATTTTCCTACGGCTTTCCAGCATAACGGTCATTTGAAGCCACATGCCTTCATTAACCCCTCACTCCCCTCTGCATGCATGTGTGCATCTAACATCAGTCTGCTGAGAGATCTCACGGTTATTCACGGCTTCTTCCTGATGGAACTAACATTGGTCTCAGAGGACAAATTAACAGAGAGAAAAAAAGAAATGTATTACCCCGTGTCAAGTGCTGCTCCTTCCTGCCATTTCTTCATATACATTTCTGTAAAACATTTGGCATGATGCAGAAGCATGTGAAAACGGTCCAAAGTTTGGTACAACATAAAAGTTATACTTGTAATAATATTTAAATGTTTTATTGTATTTTGATCAAATAAATGCAGCCTTGGTGAACCAAATTACTTTTTTAAAAAAACATAATCTGAACTATTTTCAAACTTTTGACCGGCAGTGTATATTGTGCACAGTATGCAAATGTTCTGCACTAAATAGACATCATGTACTGTACTACATTTGACAAAATGTGCAGTATACAGCCAGAGCACACTACATTGTTTACTGAATCACAATGTGGTCAAATGAAGCAGAATATAAACTAATATTTTAACACCTTTTTATCTATTATTTGATTGCTGAAAGATAGTATGCACTGTAGTTTCTGTGCTGTAAGCAAGTACTTCATTCTCAACATAGCCGATGTTACTTAAGCATAACAGTGACCTTCCTGTTCTTCTATAATTATGAGCGAGTCCATACCACACCCTTACATAAATAAACACTCTCTACATTAATTCACAGCAACTATTCTTATGTAACAGTATCTTATGTAAGTACACTGAAGATAATGCTGGTTATAAAGCTTGGGTTCTTCGTTGAGTTAGTCTAAAAAGAGAAGTGGTATTTTTACTCATTGATTAACTTATTGTTTATGCAGCATAACTGATTTGGTGCGCACTGCAACTAAGCGTGAGATTCCAGATCACCAGCAGATGTTGGAAATCGTTCCCTCGTTTGAAGAGGATGAGGACTTCCAGACCGTCCTGTTCATCAGATACCTGCTCAGGTGATGCTGGAGACCAGAGCCTTACGTTTACGAACGAATTATCACCTTAATAAGATGTCAGCTATTAAGCGGTCTCTATTAACTTTGATTCTAGATTTATAAGCCGAACAGTCATAAAATCATGTGCATTTGTACACTGCAAAAAATAATAAACATGGTAGATTTAATCAAGTTGATTCTTAAAACAAATAAAAAATATTGCCTACAGAAAAACAAAATAAGCTATCTTATAGACATTCTGGTAACACTTTAAAAAGAAAAGGTCTCTTTTGTTAACATTAATGTATTAACTACACTGGTAAAAAAAATAAAAAATCAGTCAGAAATTTCTAGTAAATTTCACAAAGAAGCAGCAAGTAATTGTGAATTAAACATTAACAACTGAAATTGTATTTTCTTGTAAGACATACTCCAGTAATCTTGGTTTTATTTAAAACTAAAATTATTAAAAATCTTTATTAAAAAAAATAGGAAACATTTATTAGTCTTTTTAAATGTTAGTTAATCAAAATACAGCTGCAGTTCAGTGTACAATGCATTAATGTTAACACACAACTTTTGATATTAAAAATGGATTAGTAAATATTGAAATTAATCAATGCTTAAGAGATAGAAGTATTGTTAATTTTAGTTAGTTCATGTTAACTAAGTAACGTTAAAAATGAAACCTTATTGTAAAGTGTTAACACTGAAAAAGTCTGAAGTAAACATATCTTGCCAACTAGAAAACAAGACAAATACTGATTAAGATCTGAATATTTTGCAGTGTAAAACTTGATCTGTAAAGTTTTTTTGTGAAGAATCTCATTTTACTGTCTGTAAGTGAAATATCTTTAATTCTTTTAAACATGATGTGTCCTGTATCCCTGTGGTTTGTTAATTCTCGCCCTCATCCCTTTGTTATGCAGTCCTGACCACCCACCCCTCACCTCACTATTAGCATGAATGAAGACACTTCCAGAGCAGAGCCAGAGACCCAAATGAGCTGCATCTGCTGCAGTTAATTAATTTAATCACCTTTAGACACATTTGTGTGCGTTCAGTCCTAATCACATTACAGCAGTGGATCTCATTCACAAAAAGACTTGACAGCTGGGTCTTTTTCTTTCTATTGTATTCTGGTTACAAACCTTCGAATTCTAAAGTAAAATTCTTAATATAAAAAAAAAAAAAACTAAATCTCATATTCTGTAGTGAAGCCTTTGAAGAGTGCATTCCACTTCATTACTGACTTTTAGAAATGAAGTATAATATTTGCACAGTATATGAGCTGTTTGGTGGGGTGTTGAAACTATGAGCTATTGCACAACTCTTTAAGAGACTTATACACATGAAATAGAAGAGTTCAAATAATTTGATTGCAGATGAATGGAGTTGGTCAATCTTAGGAGAGCCAAACAAATTGAACATTGGTTAGTATTCAAAATATGGGAGATTATGAACTGTAAGACTTGTTTATTCTGTTTCTTTAATAAATGTATTGAAAACATTTTTTTTTCCATATTGCAGCTGATTTATAAAAGCAACAAGCCTTGAGATTTTTGCTTTAAACTATATTTAAGGTGCAACTCTACTTTAATGCTTTTATGCCATTTTCACATGAAATCCTCAGTCAAATGTTTTTGAACATGATACTTTGATTTTGAAAAAATGCAGCAGAAGAGATTCTTTTATATAAAAAGCATTTATTACAATATTTATTAATACATGGAACAATATTAGACATTTTCAGAAGTAAACTCCAGTCCGTTTTCATAAACACATCAGATGTATCCAATGATGTCATTGCATATGATAGGCTGTCGACTCCCCGTCTTCATGACAGCGCTGAACTGATAAAAGTCTGGTCCCAATTGGTGCAAACTTGTGTGAGACTGGTGAAAGAACGGTTTGGGGGCTTGAAATCCCACAGGACAAGACATGCGTTTAGTGCAAGCCTTTCTCTCCTCAACTCCCTTTGACATGCCCGCTAATTTCCTCCGCATGTTGACCAGAAAGTCCTTGGCTATTTTGCGGCTGGCGTTCGGCTTGAGTTCTGCAGAATCTGGGCACTCTGGAAGATCCATCCAGTTCTTAATAAGATCTGCAAAGCTGTTGTCCCCAAGAACCAACGGTTGCCTGTTACGGCCTCTGGTTAACAAAGACGTGGTCCAGTCCATTGGGTCGCTGGCCTCAAACGACGTCCAGCGCTCCAGGCATGCGTCTGATGTGGATTTGGGTCGGATTCGGTTGGTGCGGACGCACGCGGACGATGAAACACGCACGTTCCTCGTACGCCTCAACACCACACCCTCGTCCTGCCACGATGCTTCAGAGTATCCCGAATCAAAGTCCAGGCTTTTCACGCTGCTCGGGGAGCCTTGAGGTAGATGGCCAACATCGGTTTCCCATTTTTTATTATTTTTAAAACAACCCCCCCCCCCACTTACATTTTAAAGTTTCAGTCATTTTTTGTGTTTGGTCAATATTTTTAATTACATTTTTTAATTTTTATTTTCGTTAAAGTTTGCTATTTTGTGTTTCAGTATTTTCAATTAGATTTTTCGTTCATGTACATTTTTATGTTTTTGTCAATACTTTAACATTTTATTTTTTTATGTTTTAGTTTACATTTTAGTAATTTTGTTTGGTTTTTTGTCATTTTTAAGATGTTTATTTCGCATAATGAGAATGTTTTTTGTTTTTTTTTAAACCAATAATAACCCTGCACTGTACTATGGTACCGTCACAGTACCTTTTCATAAGGACAAGATGAGCTTGTTCCTCAAATGTTCCAATTAAAAACTGTGAATCCATTGCTAGACTGATGTGTCCAGGAACTATAATCGCCTTGGAAAACAAACCACGGACCAGGCCAATCAAACAGGCCATAAAGTTGTTAGATGAAAGCAGTCCAGAGTTTTCCAGTTTAATCCAGCAGCATTAATCAACAACATGAGTGGGAGAGAAACAAACACACAATCCATTTGGCAGAGTCTCAGGGGAGAAGAGTAAGAGCATGATGCATGCAGATACATCCGCACCGATTGTGGGAACGGGAAACAAGAGGAGTCCCTTCCTGCACTGCTTCTTGAGGTGGGAGAAGTGTGGCCTTTCTTTCTTCCAGTTCATGATTAATGCACGGATTGTTGTGGTCAAAAAGGATATGATGTCATTTTTTGGGACAATGCTGCACTGTTTTGGCTATAGTTCACAGTGAAATGGCGATCAGACTAATTGTGTACATTAATCTATTTGGGAGGGTTTAATACAAGAAAGAAAAAAAAAAAAAAAAACACCTTTACAGTAATGCACTTATGCATTGCTGATGTAATTCCCAATTATAAGTAGATATTCAACAGAACAGTAGTGTCATTGCTATAATTTTAATTTTTTTATAGAGAAATAAAAAAAATAAAATACAGATACATTAAAATATAGAAAAAAGGTTAAGAAAAATAGTTAAAAATAAATGCTATTTTAATATCATTGAGATGCTATTATATATTTGTAATAGTTTTACGTATTTTTCGTTTTCATTTTAATAAAGTTTAGTCATTATTTTTTCTTTTTATTAAATGTCTATTCAATTTGTATTGATTTTTATTTCGGTTTTTGCTTTAGTTATTTTAGCACATCAAGTTAAACTATATGAAAATGAGAAGAACATTTATTTCAAGTAAAATCTTATTTCCAGTGGTTTTATTTTTATAACAACAACTCTCCAGAATGTCTTGCACCCTCAATTCTAACAAACAAAATTCCTCTTGACCAGGCTTCGCAATATCAAAATAGATTCAATCTTTCTAAGGTCCACACCTCTTAACCAGAAAGTCCCTGTTTTCCAGCGATAACATCCCCCTACTCTCAGGTGATTTAATTTACTTTCACTTCCAGCACTGCTGTAGCGGCTAAGCATTTGAACTTTTTTTGGGAATGCTTTTGAAAAGCAGGAAAAAAAACAACAAAAAAAAAAACACCCATGAATGTGTATAGATTGGTTTGAGGCAGAGCTATAGGACCAGTGACCACTCCATGATGTTATCACAGCTTTGAGAACTTAGCCATTTGGCTCTAAGCTGCAGGTGTGTGTGTGTGTGTGTGTGTGTGTGTGTGTGTGTGTGA